GGATCTAGAACCAGCAAATAGATCTGGATATTGCAACTTGGCCAGTACAAAGAAATGCAAAAGGGTTCCTTTACCAAATTAAGGTGCACAATTTGTTTTTCAAGACTAGACATATAAAAGATTGGCTACAAATTTACAGCTTGTTTGGATGGTTGTATCGTATTGTATTGTACTGTATTCATTTGATGTATATCAGTTTGGATAGATTGTATTGTTTTCCGTTATTTCATAATGTTACATACAAACAAGACAAAGAATAAACATGCAATATTGCCAAGGAAAATTAACGTACGAGGTAAAATTATTATATAAAAAGGTAGAATAAAGTATAAAATAAAATTATTTAATAACAAGGAATGACAAGATGAGAGAAAAAAATAAGGTAACGATGCGACCACACCAAATCGGTCATTACATAAAGTAGCACTTTTATCATTACGTAACGATAGATTTAACGATACGAAAAAATTTAAGTAACAATCAAAACAAACATTATATTTAAAGTAACAATACGATACAATACAATAGGTAACAACCATCCAAACAAGCTATTAAATTTAAATTGTTCAATCATTTGGCACTTTAACATGGTTTTAGAATATTCGGCCCCGCCCGGTACATTGACACCTTTAGGCTGCACATGTATTTGAGTATTTATATTGTGAATCTGAATCCACAATATAAGAGAGTGTTAGATATTCACTTGGATTTTTGTGTGTACACAATGTACCAATGTCCCAAAACGAATAAATGTACATCGTATTGTAAAGTATGTCTATAAAATCTATTACGCACGGTCCCAGATTCAAGTTGATTCTATTTAGATTCCTCGTTAGAGAAAAACAATCAGAAAACAGTTGTTTACACTCATTCCTTCAATCTCTTCTGATTATTTCTGTTATTTCTCAAAACATCAATATGTTCGATCACACGCCGCGCTTCCTCCTCTGTACCAGGAACAACATTCCTAATTTTTAAACCATTTCTTAGTGAATCAGAGCTGACAGTGAAGGTGAAGTAGAAATTATTCGAAACCTGTTAAAAAAGCAGAGCAGTAACAAACTAATTAGCTGAATCTTGCCACATAAAATAAAACGGAAGGAGTATTAAAGAGTAAATTCTGCATATCAGTAATATCCACAGTACAAATGCAGGATATGCTGATATGGCTGCATACAATAGACTTTTGTAGTCCGACCCTTCCCTGAACGTATGGCGGGAGCTTAGTGCACCGGGCTGCCCTTTTTAGTAATATCTATAGTACATGATATATGCTCACCTCACTGGAAATATGTTTGGGATGTGTAACATGAGCTACAACTTCCACATTAATCAGAGGCCGCGACATGTTTTCTAGTTCTGTATACAGAACACATGATTTGAGCTGGAGGAAATCTCCAACATCTACCTGCATCAGCAAATTTCAGACTTAACTTAAGCATTTTATTTATATATTCGTATCCTACAAATCCAGTATAATCTCATATCGTGGGGTCTGGGTGGGTCGTAAACAAATACTTAAAGTAATAATTTATGCACTTACAGGTTTCAAGAAATCAACATAGTCAACTTCCACAAAGCAAGGTATACTGCCAGCAAATGAATAAGCTGTTGCATAAGCCAATTCAAAAGCTTTCCTCATTAGGAAACCTCCAAATATTTGACCATGCATGTTTCTTTGCTCAGGTTGGCAAACCAAAGAATTTTGAAGACAAGTTTCCTCTATTAGAATGCTGTCTCTATCTAACAAAGCTTCAGCCAACAATCTATTTATCAGCCTATTTACATTGTCTCCATTTGTGTCCTTTTTCTGTTCTCTTTTTTCCTTTCTCATTTTGTTTCTTTCCTCTGCTTCTTTCCAAAGAAGCTTTTCTTTTTCAGTTTCAGGTAAAATCGCGTTGATTCGAGTTGATTTTCCGGACATAGAATCTCTGGCCACAAATGTGAAGTTTGCTGTAAGAGCTACTGACTCTGTGGTATTGTATGCTTCTGCAAAATGATCATACAATTCAACATGGTACCAGAATAGACAGAGATACTGAATTCGAGTCACACCGTTACAAATTATATAATAAATAAATTTATCACATCCTTAGTACATGAAAAAGAATCAGGCTCACACGTTGAGAAAACGTATCGCAAGCTAGTAATTACCTGGAGTAGATTGCTTCACTTCAAGTTGAATTTCTAAAGATGAACATCCAACCCATATAACAGCCCCTTCTATAGTGAGATCAGTGTCAATACGAATAGTTTTTTTCAGAATCATCTTCTCCATAGATGCAGTCACCAATTTTATGGACCTAGATGTTCCATCATTAGAGGAACAATGCTGTTTTGCGAAAAAGAGACAGAATATCATGAGTATGATACTTCAGAAACAGGGATTTTAATTTCTTAATGCATTAAAGAAAATTAACAGGAATATGGTCAAGGATGAGGTAAGTATACTCCAACTACCTAAAATTACCATTTAATATGATAAATTAATACTCTAACCCTTTCTATTTATGTGAACCTTCGAGGGTCAAATTGATTAATTTTTTTGTATGAATTTAGGCATAGAATTTTCATATTATTAAAATAAAATTTACATATTTAGAAATTAGATAAAAAGTGTTATAAGTCACTACAACTAATAATTCAAAATATTAATGAGTATTTGCTTAAAATGTGATCAAATAAAACCTTGTTTGTTTGACTCCCAAAGAATAATAGGTTCACGGAAACTGAAATAGATAAAATATGTTTTTACTGACATTGAAATATCATGAAATATTTAGTATCACAAGTTCAAAATACGCGTTAAACTATGCATTTAGTAATTAAACAAACGCCCATATAAAAATGATTATAAGAAGCATATAAACTATACCTTATAGGATATGGTTGCGGCCAAAGCATCCAAGTCTTCTACCAACTTTCCAATTCTAATCTCATTCCTGGGATTTCTATATCGTTCCCGAAGTTCATAATCAGAAGAAAATTTGAATAAAACACTAGTCCTATTCCTCAACGGTGTTTTAGCAATCAAATCATTTTGAGGAGAGTGAGCAACTGCAAATATTGATGGCCTTCCAAAAATACTCGATCTCGCTTCCCACATTGCATTTTTCACAGGCGAATGATGCATAAACAACAATAAACTATTTGGTTTAGCAATCAAATCACATTGCATTGAAATATTGTTGATGGTATTCGCATTATGACCCGTTGGCTTTTCTGGTGATACGAACGTATTTAAGTAATTGTCGTTAGATGAACCAAGAAAGTTAGTAAACTGAGATTTTTTCTTTCGGAGTAAGTTTGGATATGAAGAAATATCACCATTCAACTCCTTAACGAAATTCTTTGTTTCGGAGTTGTATGATTGTGAAGTAGAAAAATAAGAAATGAGTGTATAGAGTGAAGCATTTTCTTCATACTTGAGAAAGTTGAAATGAAAATTAAGAGATGACGGTTTGAAAAAATGGTGACAAATTGGTTTTGTTGGAGCTTTCATCTAGTAAAAGAAAATAAAACCCAATTAGGAAGATGACAGAAGCTTATACAAGTTGGAGGAAATTAATCTTAGTTTAGGGAATTGTGGATTTCGATATTACTTAGCTTAAATAAGAAGAAAAGAAAATATGGAGATACAATTGGATGGAGAAATTAAAGATGTATGTACCACTAGCAGGGGCGGAGCCAGACTCGGGAGCGGATTTGGCTGAACCCAATAGCTTTGTTTCGAATCCTGTATTTGTCTTAAAAAGTTTATTAAATATATATAAATTATTAATTTCAAACTCAGTAGCTTAAAACAATTCGAATTCCGAACTTATAAATTTGAAATTCTGACTCCGACGTACGCATAAATGATAATATGACAAGATCATAATGTAGATGTGACAGCTAATAATAGCTGTTGTAACTGTAATTCAGAGAGGAACAGCTGGGTATATTTAATCACATGTGAGTTGTGAGATTGAATAATGTTTAATGTTTCTTTTCTTATTTTAATAATCCTCTTAAATTCGGTAGTTCGGATTTCAATTTTGTTCGGATTATACCAACCTCACTAGCGAGTTGTGTTGAATAGGCTTAAGCAAGGGTAACTCAAACATAGACCTAAATTTTTAAAAGAAAGTTATGGCGTACTCCTCCTGTTCGAATCGGGGTTTGAAACCAAACTCCTCCTCAGGAGGATAGATGGGGCGATTCGGATATATATATTTTATTTGAAATCTATTTTGTTATCTTTTCAAGATGCAAAGTTGTTAATTCCTCTAATAATTCCTTTTCAGTTTGATAATATAGCCAACTCATTTAATTTATCTTGAGACATTACTAATCTCAGGTAAGATTTTATCAATTATAATCTTGAAAACTTTTTTTTCTTTGAGGCAATTGTTATAAAAAAAACTCTATTTTTGTATGAAAAGTACTAAATTATTCTTTTTAAATACCTATAAACATATTATTAGGGGTGTCATCAATATTTAAAAACCAACTAAATCGACCGAACCGTACCGTCGAACCGATTTTTAGGTTTATTTTAATAAACCCGTCGGTTTTTATATAAACGTATAACCGTACCAATAATTATGGTAGGTTTTTTATTTTAAGAAAATAAACCGAAAAAATACTGAATCACACCGAACAAGTTACATAGAAAAAATATATTTATATATTAATTAAATTTAAATATAATAAAGCATTAAACTTTTCCTTAGACCTTGGAATTATGAAAACGGTTACAAGACAACAAGCAATTAAATTCAAAATCCTAATTCTCAAACCTTTTATACTATTCCAATTGGTACTAAATTATTTTCAGCATATTCACTAGTAAGACTCAAGGTGTTCTAGCAACTTTGAGTAGCAAACTACAATGTATCAAATATGTTTCCTTTCGTATGATCTAAATTTATATTTTCGAATATTTAATCTTCTATAAACTTTATTCTTGAGTCTCAGTTTGCTTAATATCTTTCCACTCGTGTGATTTATATTTTATTTATCTTTGTTTAGTTTCTTTTACGCTGCAGTAGAATAGTTGATGGATCTATACTCTGGTCATCTTTCATGTTTTCTTAATTTATCACTCTTTAAATATTAAAAATGTCTAGAGAGTTTTGTTAAATCCTATAAAAGTACGTATGTTATTTCATTCTGCTTCTACTAGTGACTTTTAAATGACATTTTAAAAGTACCAAAAATTAACCAAACCATACCGATACCGAAGAGAAACCGACATGATTGGTACGGTTTCTAAAAGTCTAATTTTGGTTATACATAGTAGAATAACCGAAAAATTGGTATAGTATAAATTTTATAAAATAACCAGCCAAACCGAATCATTGACACCCCTACCTATTATTTCTAAAAAATGGGGACCCCAAAATTTGGGAGCCTAAGGCCAACGCCTTACTTGAAACAACGTTAGAGCCGGCCCTAGGCTTAAGCCTTCGGGACCAAGCTTATTTTGACTAGCTAGACATGACTCATTTTTTTTTTAATAATTGTGGTGTTTGATCAGTTGTGCGTACCTTAACTAACCGCATGAGATATCTGTTATCTTTTATTAGCACAAATATTGTATAATTTTGTCTATCAAGACACGGACAGATAGAAAAATATCACATAATATTTTTGCCTCTATTGGAAATTAAACCTAAGACATTCCGGGTGTTACTGTCTTGTCTAAGATGTTTCCATGATTTTGTAATGATTTAGTTGAGGTTTGAATTTTTTTGGGACGGTTCAGGAATAATCAACAACATGTGATTTGTGAAATACTGCTACTAATTTTTTTGTGATTAACTCGTACAAATGATCATACTCTAAAACCTTCAACACATTTAAGTTTGATCACTTTAAAAAGGTCAAAACTTAAGTTTGCAACGTATTTTCCAACTTTGTAAACTCTTAGATTCTTTTCGCTCTTTATGCAAAGGAAAATGTTTACTTTTTCAAACCTAATCTTTGGATTTCCGGGGATCTCTCGGCCTAGTCATAGCCCTGGGATCGTGGCGTTTTCTCCTCTGCGATTCTGATTATAAAGCTATCAACCATAGAACTTTTAATTTATTAATTAACAACTTAAAAATGGGAGATCATATCCTTTCTGAATCTTCTAATCACCTTGTTCTCTAACTGGATGCCACGTTGGTCAGATAAAATAAGATCGCCATGTGTAATTTTTCATTACATTAGGAGGGAAGATATTGAATATCATGTCATGGATCGCTCACTAACTTGACTATTTAGAATGGATAAAAATAAAAGAAAATTACGCGACACATCAAATATTTATAATGTATTTATTATTCGTACCTATATTTGAATTTTATAGCAAATCCATAAAATACGAGATTAATTGTTTTGAACCGAAACAAGAGAGCAACAAGCTCTCATATCTAAGTTAGTTAGAGCACATGCTTAGCTAGCGAAGGTCTTGAGTTCAAATCTCAACAAAAATATTTTATTTTCTGTATTTCGTTTTAGTTGTATTCGTTGCGCGAACAAATAGGTATATGAAAATTCCAGGGTTAAGTATAAAGCCACTTAGTTCTAATTTGACTTGGAGGGAAAGATAGGAAAGATCACCAAGTGAGTTATCCCTCAACCTATGCCATGTGTAATTAGAATATTTATTTATTTTTAGATCATTTGTTATTCTTGCATAGTAATAGCGAAATCTACTGTTATGGTCCATTGTAAGGTATGAGACTTGAGTCTCACATCGGTATTGCAATGTGTTGATGTAGGGTTTATATTGCCTTGGGCTCTCCCACTTTAATAGCTAGCTTTTGGGGTGTGGTTCTCCCTTGGTTGTATCAATAGTATCAGAGTCACACACCACCTTCCGTGCCCACCGTGCCATGGATGGTGACGCCGGTATTACAGTGTTCACTCGGGGCTAGAAAAGTCTAGGGTACAGCCGTCGGGACGAAGGATGCGGAGCGTGGTGGTTTGTTATGGTCCATTGCAAGGTATGAGACTTGAGTCCCACATTGGTATTGCAATGTGCTGATGTGGGGTTTATATACCTTTGGGCTCTCCCACCTTAATAGCTAGCTTTTGGGGTATGGTTCTCCGTGGGTGTGGTTCTGAACTCGCTCAAGGCCGTGTTAATGACATAAAAAATCTGGTTTCTCAAAGTAATTTAGTTGAAAAGAGTGTAATTTGTCATGTATGGGACCCAGGACTAAGTCTGCAGCCCTTGAAGTTAAACAATTCGAGTTCCAGCATTCTGTCCTTAATTGTAGTTCCAGCTGGTGCAAAACATGTCTCTTCCATTGAGGCATCTAAGATGCTTGAATCTGCCAGAAATCATATTTCTTGTGCTTATTTTAGTCTACCATGTAATTGCGTGGACATTTGGTTCGATACTGGATATGATTATCAGGCTGATTCTAATGCGCTTTTTATCTAGTGAATCTAAAGAACTAAAACAGTATGATGTATTTGTATCACTTGTCACCCACGCAGAGTTAGACTGTGAATGTGTCGAGGTTGTAACATCTTTTTCTTACATATTCGAACAACCATCTGTAACCTTGGTACCTAATGATGTTGAGTATGAAAACACGATTGTTGAATTTGGAGGTAGTGACTTTCCTTTTGATCCTGGTACTATTTTTCTTGCTACATGCCTTTGGACTATACGAAATTGTGATTTCTGTGAGGCGTTGGGTTTGACTTCAACTACGTGGGATGCTTGCATTGAACCCTTATATCTTCAGTTGACACATATTGAGGCTAGTAAGATTGATACATCAAATTATTGAGAAAGTGAGTTTCAAGTCCTATGGTCACCAACTTGATTATAATGATAATGTGACTAAGCATTCGACTCGATTTATGACTGTGGTTCTAAGTGGAGCTCTCCTAAATTTAATTGTTACATCTGTTGTTTGGATTAACCAAGCTATTCACGCGGCAGTTTCTGAATTCCCTACGAGAATGGCAAAGAGAGGGAGGAGACAGTTCCTTTTGGCTAAAGCTTGTGTTGCGGCTGAAGAGATGCTTTTTGGTTTAGTTAAACATAAGGTTGATCGGGTCGTAACCTTGCTTGAATATGTGAGTTGGTGTGGTTGCTGGCATGATGTACTCATTTTCCTTGAAACTCTGACTGTTTCTGCGCAACTGTAATGACCCGGCTAGTCGTTTTGAGAATTAGAGTCCCGATCCCCTAATATCTGCTTTCCCCATATTTGTTTCTGCTTTTGGGACTTGACGGAGTGATTGGTTATGGAATTCAGAGAGTTTTGGGACACTTAATCCCTAGTTGTGAGTTTAAGCCTAAGAGTTTGGACCGTAGTCGGAACTATGTAAAGACGGATCCGGAATGGAATTCTGTCAACTCTATTAGCTCCGTTGAGTGATTTTGGGGTTAGGAGCGCGTCCAGAATATGTTTAGGAGGTCTGTAGTAGATTTAGGCTTGAATTGGCAAAAGTTAATTTTTCGGCCGATAGTGAAAATTTTGATATCGAGCTCGGAATGGAATTCCGAAAGTGGTTGTAGGCTCGTAGTGTCATATGTGACCTGGGTATAAAAT